AGAAACTACTTAGTTCATACTGTCTTTTTAGTGTATGATTTTCCAAGGTATCATCTTTTGCAATGATTTCCTATGCAGCCTGAAAGGAGCTTTTTAACTGTGCCATCCTCTAGCACAAGAAGTGCTGCATTGGAAATTAACTTATACAGGTAGATTGCAGCCTGTGGTCCCACCTTTAAATTGCAATTCTGCAGGAAGAGAGGTATTTTATATTCTGGGCCTGTTCAGCCTGGGGAAGAAAAGGCTGAGAGGGGATCTAATCAGTGTCTCTGAGTACCTCAAGGGAGGCAGTGAGGAGGATGGGGCTGGCCTCTTTTCAGTGATGGCCACTGACCGAACTAGAGGTAATGGCCACAAACTGAAACACCAAAAGTTCCACAGGAACTTAAGGAAAAAATTGGTAACAGTGAGGGTGACAGAGGCCTGGAACAGGCTGCCCAGAGAGGTTGCGGAGTCTCCTTCTCTGGAGATCTTCAAAACCCCCTTGAATACAGTCCTGTACCACGTGCTCTAGGTGATCCTGCGTGTGCAGGGGGGTTGGACTAGATGATCTCCAGAGGTCCCTTCCAACCTTTAGCATTCTATGATTCTATGACTCTATTTGGAAAACCAAGCCTCAAGACATAAGAGTGGATGACTGCAGATTTTCTGTCTATCTAGATCTGCCCGTGCTCTGTACTGTCCAGGCTACAGATTGGAAACTATGTATTAGTGTAAGAAGCAAGGAATCTGAAGCCAAGCATATTAATGGGCCACCTTCCAGACCAGAACTGCCTCATTCCCAGGATCAGGAGACAGACAGATGCCTACTTTCATGCTCATTCCTTGGCTATTCAGCTTGAAATCACAGTAGGGAAAATAGCCTTTCCAAAGAAAGACTTCATCCACTACAAACTGGAGTAGCTCCATAAAAGTCATTGTATTGCTTCCTACTGACACCAGCTGAGGAGTGGATGAAGAATTTCCAATTTAATGTTGGATTTTGGAAATGGCCTACAGAAAATAGCAGCATCCTAATCAAAGCTTTTGAAAGGGCTTTATTCATGCATGGCCTATTATGGGTCTGTGACACTAGTAGGTTTGCCTAGTAAACAATTATGTTTACTAAACATTTACAATGTGTTCTGAAACAGAGAAGTAGCACGGGTAGAGCAAATATGTCATCATTGCATGCAAAGAGCAAGGAGACTCCAGTAATCCCCCCATATAGAGACATCCAGGAAAAAGAATCAAAACATCAGAATACCGTCTTTAAAAAACAAAACAGGATGCCAGTAAGAATAAAAACTGTCTGCAAAATAAAGGCATGCTTCTCTAGGACTTTCACTGAATAATACAGTGTGGATTTAGTAATTAGTTTTTCATGTTTTTGGCAACTATTTTTTTTTCAAATGGCATTGTTATAGGTCAGACTCACATAGTTTCCCCATTTTGTTTCGCCTTATTTTCTTCCATTTTTATTTTTTGCTAGAAACCACAGGAAGACATTTTTGTAGTGAGGATATCATTCTTGCTGATGATATATCATTTGTGAGTTCAGTGAATTTGTTCCACATGTCTTTTGAACATGTGCTGCACAAAATGACTGGTAATATAAAGAATCTAGTGAAGATATGCCGAATGTGTTCTCTGCACAACGATGTGTTTCAATTAGTGTTTGATCGTGAATATATTTTGGGGTGTGAGAATGAATCCCCCCTGCTTTGATTTTGCTTGAGATAAGGAAGCTTTTTCAGTATTAACAATGAAAATTCAGTGTTAAAAAATTTTCAGTAATAAAGATCAGAAAATGTCTCAATAAAAAGGGAGGAAAAGAAAAAAAAGAGAGAAATATTGATGTGTGCTCATTAATAGGATACTTTTCACACAAACATACTGCCAGCACTTTGAAAATGGAGATCTTCAGTTGGCAGGGATTGATGTCTGTACAGCAGGATGTATATGCATGCATGCATGCACACTTGCACAGTATCAGCATGAATAAGCAATGGCTGTCGTTATAGTAACCGTGACTGATCAGTCAGCTATAAGTTGCTGTGATGACACATGTACATTTTGCTGCTTGATTATTCTCAAAGAGCCACCGTTTTCACCGTGTTGAAGGCGTGAAGCCTATTAGAAGAGTCTGCATTTTTTCTCTCAATGAACTTTGTATCATTTTGAATACAAAGCGTTTCTGCCAAGTATTGCTATAATTAAATTGATTAGCTTTAAGTTAGGGTTAGCTTGCTGATTTGTGTTGTTCTGACCTTTAGCCTTATTCCAAGCAAAACACTAAATTATAGACTTTAACAATTTAATTTTCTAAAATAAAATATTTATAGGTTTTTCTTTAGCAAATGTATCCCTTTGCCTTTTAGCCCCCCAAATAGGATGTTTTTACAAGGTACCTTGCACACAAGACATTATCCCAAGTCTGACTGGCATTTTCCTGTCTGACTTTTTAGGCACAATAAGTCAACTAAGCCACTTTGCTGGTGACATCAGGTAATCTAAAGTAAATGTGTCAATATTAGAAGCACAAATTTTACTTTACTTAAAGGAAAAGTGAGGTAAACATACTTGAAGGATGTGTAAAGCAGATTTTCATTAAATTAATCAACTCTTTTTTTCTTCGTTTGATATTTTTTATCTGATACACACAACTTATAGTTCTAGGAAACTATCTTTCTCTGTGCTTCTTTTTGTTAATGGAGCTTATCTTAGCACTCTATAACTTGATAATATTGCTAGGAATATATGCACAAATGTACTGGAAAAAATAGCATGTAGCTTTTGGGTTGGATTTATCTTTTTTGCTGTTGTTGTGAACCTATGGTACATGGAGTAAAAATGATTTCATATGATTTTAGAAGTCCACCAAAAGAGTTTCTTGCATCATCAAAGCAGAGAAATTGGTTCTTTCAGGAAAGTCCTCCCAAAATATTTTACATCTCTGTTTTAGGATGCCTCATAGTTTTCACTGACCATATTGACTTAACTCTTAATTAACTGTAGAGGAAGGTAGAGATAATTATCTTTTCCTGCTGGTTTTGAACTTGGCTAAATATCAAAGCAACACTTTTCCATTTTAATCACCTTAAGCAATGGTTTCTGCTTTACCTCTAGGAGCCAAGCCATGGTCCAATATCATAGAGATCCTGGAGGAGAAGGATGGTGTTGATACTGAGCTGCTGGTTTATGCAATGACATTGGTTAATAAGGTTTGTGTTCCTTTTTTTTTTTCAGCATGACTGGTGGTGGTAACATTAATGTCTGTATAATGCTCCCCCTTCTTGAGAATATATAACAAAAAAGATCTGTCGCTCAGGTGACAGACTGGAGCAGAACTGCTATTTTGCTTGATGTTGTGCACAAGCATATTATGATGTGGTTCCTCTCCTAAAGCTGGCAACAGCGCGTAAAACAAAACCTGGCTAAACAAAGGCTAGATCAACAACTTGTCCAAGGAGGGAAAGCAAGCAGGTACTGGTGAAAAGATCGCACGTTCACAAAGACTTGTATTGTGCACAGACTTACAGTTTCCACTCATTTCTTTTCCCTGTGAACCAAATACGATGAATTTAACAGATCTGAATGCTAGTAAGAGTGTTTCTGCATAAAAATAGAGGGAAAATGTGTTGGAGTGTTCTTTGCTGCTTTCTTTGTAGTTTTTGGAAACCTTTATTGAAAGTAGTTATTTCAGGGTAAAAGCAAACATTGTTTAAAGTACAGGCACATGCTAAGGGGAGGGAAGTGAATGGCTTGTAAAAGTTGAAATTAATTAATCTGAAGTTCTGAATTATTAGTGTCTGGTCCTCAAATTCTGAACAAATCTTCAAATGGACTCGGTTTAAAAGTGGATCTTTTAAAGAACACAAAAAGTCAGAATATTGCTAGAATATCAATATAACTGTTTTATGATTGTATTTACTATGTCAGAGTGTTACAGGATATATATATATTATTATTATTATTCACTGCTCTCTTTTAAAAGATCCTGAGTTTGCCGGTAGACACCATTAATCAGGATACCAGCCTACTCTACATGGTTTGAGGGGATCTTTTTTTTTTCTCTTCTCTTTGATAAAATACTTGATTAACAGTTGGTATTGCCCAATAATGATGTCTGAGAGGACCAGGACCATCCTGCTCCAGAATCATCACTGACGTGATGGCACTTTCATTTAGAGCTGCCTTTCCTCTCTGTTTCATGCTTTGCACTGTAACTTGTGTTAAAGTTGAATCAGCTCTAAACTTGTTTTTTAACATTTCCATTTTGTGCCTCATTTTATATACTGGATCATCTTTCTGCAAGAATTGTCTTAATTTTTCTTACCACTACCATTGCCTGGTGGCTGACTTCTTAAAATATTTTGTTCTGTACTGGCTCTGTTATGCTAGAATTGATTCCTTTCATTTTTTTTTTTCCTCACTAGATTTAAAACTATCTTTAGGAGGAGTTAGTTCTTTTTATAAACAAAGCATCTCGCAGTCAAATGAGCAAAGCGGTCACAAAGATCAAGGACAGAGGAATCCTGTCCTTATAATTATGATCTGGCTTATGGACAGCTTCATGATGTCTTTAATGGGATTTTTTTTTCATGATTATAGAGAAAAGAGCAGGCAATGCATCACATTTGAATTTTTTTTTTGCACAGAGAAGACAAAGAAGGCTCAGATGGTTTCCACTTCTTTAGGCGACGAATTGTCAGACTTTTTTCAGTGCAGACCAAATCTTCATAAGGAATTTGTTTTAAGGAAACATAGTCCTGCTCTCTTCTTTTTCTCCAAGTACAGACTGACAGACTGCTGTTGAATACAAAACCCCCTCAACAGCCATTGCTCCAATACTTTTATTATCTCAACGTTCTCTGCTGAAGATTGAAGTTATTCATGTTAGCCGATGTCATTAATCAGCTCTTAATATTTGTGATTTTAGGCATTAATGAATTTCTTAAATGAGCCTGGTCTCAATACAGATACCTCGGATTTTTTACAGTTCCTGTGTAACCCTTTTTATCTCCCTTTGGTTCCTGCAGTCTTTTAGCTCTTATTCTAATCCCTACTTCCTTCATTTTAACAACTAGTTCCCCATGTGGCTCTTCCACAGAAGTTTTTCTGTGGTCTAGATAGATTAAACCTTTTGTGTTTTCTTTATAAAAATGAAACTAGTCATCAGGTATTAAAAGAAAATTCCATGTTGTATTTAATTCATTTGACCATTTACTTCTATAATTTAATTATTGATTTTTCTTTCAAATTTGCTATAAAAGCCCTTTATAACTGAGATTGTAGTGACAGCTTTATATCAGCTGTTTCATTACTGTTGTTCTTTTCATCTGTATGTTAAGCATGGCAGAGAACAAATGCAATATTACCATGCTGAAATTGTTTAAATATCGAATAGGTAGATAGAATTGTTACTAGAGGTGTCAAAATCAGTGCTTTTTAATATATTCAGATAGCACTTATTGTATTTTATCAGATGGTGTAAGATTAGCATTTTAACACCAGCTTCTAAGTAAGTGGTTTATTAGGAGGAACACAGGGCACTACCTAGTGGCCCCTTAGCTCTAGTTGGAGAAGTGCTATTTCAGGCCGATGTGGTGTTAATATGGGAGCTGGCACCTCCTTTTTCTGCAACCTCTCTTCTGTGCATCAGAATTGCCTCACTGGAACATGGATCTTTGTAGGTCCTGTGTCCTGTGTCTGGCAGGGCCCAGCACCAGATGTTTCAGAAGATATGGTAGTTCCCAGGAACACACACACATAAGAGATGCTTCTTCCTATCCAAAAGTAATTGAAAACTTGCCTAATATCCTTGCACATGCTTGTTTACTCTGTAATGCATTTCATCATATCATGTAAAATTTAGATAGGTAGTATGTTTATTTAGTGTGTCGGCATTCTAGCAGAGCTCAATCTGTCAGATGTTTAGTAATAAGAGCAGTTTTCTTCTATGACTTGGACCTCTACACATGCAGTTAGCATAATTAGCCAGACTATCTGTGGTCTGCATCATTGCTTTAAGCTATTAGTGTTTTGTTTATGACAAAAGACACTATGCTTATTAATTTTATTGCCTAGTGCCATCCAGGACAGCACTTTTTAAAAACGGCGAAGAGGGAGAACCTTTCAGTTTGCAGATAGGCATAGTCTAGGCATAATTTAAGTCTGATTTCAAAATACTGAATATTGAGAAGAATATTATGCTGTTAGCAGTTGTGTATGCTAATAGTCTTGATCATCTAGGAAACTTTCGATGTTTATATTCCTATAGAACTTCCCCCAGTTCCACTCTTCCCCTTCCCCTACTGCCTCACCACAGTTTTTTTGCCTTTCTTTTCATTGAGACTGTTGGCTGTTAGTGGTAGGTAAAATCTATTAGATTTTGGTCAAAATGTGGTTAAGAAGATACATCAATCTCATAACTCTTAGGTGGGGGTTTTGGTTCTAATTTAGGTCACCCCTGGATGCTCACAACAGAACTCGCAGTTGAGCAGACATTCCCATAAGGACTTGAGAGCAACTTGTAAAATAACAATCAAACAAATAAAGGTCCTATAACAGTCTCTCCCATAATTCAGGGATATTCTTGGGAACTGCAGCTGGAGAGAGGTGTAGGAATAAACCTTGACATTCAGAATCATGTTTCCTTTATACGCCTGCATTCTGAAGGGTTTCAGATTCAAAATCCTACTTTTAGTCTAACTAGTGGAACCAAAGCATAAAGTCCAACAAGTAAACCAAGTGTCTGGTTTAAACATGCTTTTCCTACTAGCTGAAAGTTAACTATCTAGCCATCTTTTCAGTCCTTAGGGCAGAAGGAAATATTTGGGACTTATATGTATTTTGATAATGGAGTATCATTTTGATCTCAAGCAATTACTTGAGGAAGAAAAAAAGACCTTGAAAGGACTTGCCAAATTTATGCTCCCAGTGCTCTGCTGATTGCTGCTATATTCTACTTGATAAAACAGGGGCAAAAATGGGGGCATACTCTTGTTTTCTGATGCAACAAGCCAGAAAGTCAGCCATTTATGGAAGCACTTCATGCCCTTGCATTTAATTACCGCAAAGGGCTTTCTCCCATGTCAGACTGAACTGACCTTATCATCCAGTTTCGTTATGATGGAAATTGAATTTTATATGCATTAGTCTCTGAAAATGGATCTGTGAGTATAATGACAAACCATACAAAGGAAAAATATTTGATTACTATAACTGAGAGTTTAATTGCCCAGTTCTAGCAACCAGCTTGCAGTAAAAAATGGATTTCCACTGCTGCAGGATTAAAAATTATGTTAACCAATAAAAAGCTCCTAGCAAAAGCATAGTTGCCAGTTAATAGTACTTAGTGCTGTTGCTTTTACCCTGACGACAGCCTGTCTGACTTCAAGTAAGAGAAAGGAGATGCTGAAAGGCATGGTTGTTTGTCTACTCTTGGACATGTTAGACATCACATTTTATTCTGCTCAAAGACACTCAGGTCAGAATAGTTGCTATCTACCTCTTACATAAGGATTTGCATTTACATTTCGTTGAATTTGCCTTCTCCATTCAATTTACGATTAACAACCTCATTTGCTAATTCCTCAAGTTTCTACTCATTTCAAGGTGCCAGTTTAGGAAAGAACAAAGCAGACGTGATATCTGTTTTTAACATGTGTGTGGAATATTTGCTCTGTGTTCAGTAGTTTTTAACTATATGCTTAAATAGTGTCCTGGAGAAAGGTGACTTCTTAATTACAAGAAGCCTGAAATTACAACCCTGACATTTCACTTACTTACGGTGTTGTTGAGCATTCTTGTTACAGTGTTCCCTGACTGAACCTTGCTAGTTATGACTATAGTTTGGGAATGACTGAAGGAGATACTGCAGCTTTGTGTTTTATTTAAAATAATAATAATAATAAAAAAAGAAAAACAACAACAACAACAAAAACACCTTGGCAATGCATGTTTTTCCAGTACTTAATTTCACTGGAAAGAGATGCTTAAACTGTGCAGGACATTTCATTCGTCTGTTCATATCACTTGCTATTCACAAAAGTCAGATCAATCCTTCTGAAAACTCATAGGGAAGTAGTCCCCAAGAGCTGTAGTGTTCTGCGCTGTGCTGCTTTGACCAACTTCAGAAATACTGTGCTTCAAAACCCAGTACTCTGGAAGCATAATTCATCCAGTCTCCTTCATTAAAGTGATGGAAATCTCTCTGTGAAAAGCTTGGCTCTTGCAAGTGTTCTCTCTTTGTCTTGCTCTTTCTCTCCTCTATTGGCAATACAGGTAAGTGCTCCTTTTGCCGGAGCAGCTCTGTACCGACTGATCTTTGCAATGAAACGTGTGCTACTCTGCAAGTAGTTTGCCCTGTGCATTCAGTAATTTTGGCTTAACATTAGTGCAGAGCAGAATTAGACTCAAATTCCTGAATCATCCAAAGGAATAGTATAAATTCAGCCCAAGCTGAATAGAAAACATCAATATAGTGGTGACTCTGTTAACTTTGAAAACGCACAAAGCTGTCCGATGCCCACATACTCTCCAGTGCAGTTGTGATAGTGCGTTGATTCCATCCCTATTCCTACTCCGACGTGGTGTATTTGAAGTACGTGTTAAGACTGCAGAAGAGCATCTTCTGTTTCTTCAGGATTTCTGAATTCATCAAAAATGGGAAACTGGATTATGGCAGGAGAAGTGTTTTCTCTCAAACACAGACCAGGTATACTCCAGATTGCAGAAGTTCATGTTCGATGATTTTTACTGATTGGCATCAATTATTTATTCTAGTGTGCAAAAACTCTTTAATGTTGGTGAGAACCTACCCCATAACTAGGGACTTGTAACTCTTCTGAAATTTTACTGTAGTCAAGAAGTTGTAATATCTTTAATAAGACTTTTCAGGCTGAAAAGGAAAGGAGACAATATCTCTGTAACACGGAACAACTTATGCATTAGGAGAATAACCTCTGCTGCAGGTGTGGAGGAAAGTAGGCACATGATGCATGGCATTTCCTGTTGTCCTCACATCACACAGCTGTGCATTGCACTTCTTCAGGCCTAAGTTACAGGAATCAGTTGGAAATCAGCTTCACTGTTCTTAGCTAAACCATTTTTTCTCTCTTTGCTTTTATCGCTATGTTTGGTGCTTTAACATTCCCTCTTCTTTAAATCTGTAGTTGAATGAAGCCAGAAAGAATCCAACTGTGTATTCTAAAGACCCACATTTTCCATATTTTTTTTGTATGAAATAATTACATTGATTTGTTTTGCCAATTATTTGGGTTTTTACACAGTGCACAGAGTTGTTTGTTAAAAGCTGTGCCACTTGTTTTTTTATTTTCCAGTGGTGTCTCTAATCCCACATCATGGCTTGTGCTTTATTGAAATCATTCATAGCACCACTTGCCACCCACTTGTAAAAGCCTTTGTTTAATTCTTTTCAAAACAAACAGATTTAAATGTTTTTCCTTTGATTCTTAGACGCTGTCGGGGCTGCCAGATCAAGACTCTTTCTACGATGTGGTGGACTGTCTGGAAGAGTTAGGCATGGAAGCTATTTCACAGAGACACTTGAACAAGAAAGGAACAGACTTGGACTTAGTTGAGCAATTTAACATTTATGAGGTAACATAACATGCCCTGTTTTATGCATCTTACAGCTTGTGCAAACTTCAAAGCTGAGAGGAGAGGGGAATGTAACCTAAGTGAAATTTGGTTATCTAATTTATTTTAAAAGAAAAACATCTGGTTGCTAGATGTATTATTCACATTCATATATGTGACCTGCTACAGTACCTGACTGCATTTAATACAAATGTATTTCATACTAGACATGGGGCATACTTTAAGGCAAAAAAGAACATTTACTAGTGTCTTTAGAAGCAGTTCTGCCTGCAATTAAAACTTTCTCAGACTGCTAGTTACACATCCTGAATAAAGTACAAGTTCTTGCCATATGCAAAAGTATTCAGCTCATGAAAACATTCAGCTGAGCTCAGCTTCACAAATACTGCTTGTTCCACAGCTGAATACCCAGCACGTCCTTGTTTACAAGTTTATACTGGACCAATTCCTGTATGGTTTGCAGCAGTGGAGTAATAAATGACTTCAAGGTCACCACATAGGTATAAAATGACCACTTCTGGAATATTTATATGCAAAGATAGGATATCCAGTTTCTTAATAATTAGACCCTTTTCTCAAACTTCGTGAAGCGTTGGATGGGGAAAGTTTAGGCTGAAGTTAATACAATGTAAATGTGAATTTGGTGTGATGAACGGAAATGACTTTCTCTCCGTCTAAGTCCAACAAAGAATTCAGTTGATTTGATTCTCCATTTTCTTCATCTACTCTATACCCATGTCACTCCATAAACTTTAGTAACTTCAGCAGAGTTGCTCCTTACATGCAGCAATTTGCAGAAAGAGTCAAGTCAAGATAAGAACCTAGTAGTGACAGAGGACTCCATGTTCTTTTTTATTTTTATTGTCAGCTCATAACATCCATTTCCAAAAATGATCATGAAACTTAAAAGTTTTTTTTTTTGTTCCCGCTGTGCTTCTTGAAAGGGCTGATGGCAAAATTATCAGATTGCTTAATGACTACCAGCTTTTTCTTGATAACCAGATTAAATTTAGACATAACTGTCTAAATTCCTTCTTTTTTTTCTGCCAATGTTGTTCTTTATCTAAATTACTCCTTTTTTCCTCACTTAAATAGAATTTTACCCCTTAAGCAGAAATATCACATATCCCCCTGTCCTCATGCTGCCCATGTCTATTTTGGGAAGAATAGTCAGAATAAGAGCACTAATAGAAGGAAAAGAAAGCTAATCCACTCTTCTGTTCACCCACATTACCATAACTGTCCCGTTCTGAATGGATCTTTCCCAAATAATAATGACTTTTTTTTTAATTATTTCTGTGTTTTATATGTGATCCAACGGCATTTTTTACCCAATAACTTCATTGTTTCTACTGGAAAAATCTTGTCATGTACCTTAACACTGACTCGTGTTTTTTTCTTTTTCTTTCTTTGAACTGTGTCATGTTGGCAGTCATTCTACTCCTGTGCAATTTATGACTGATGAGCTCCCAACCTAGGTCAGAAGTTTCTGTCAAATGTCATAATGGTCATCCGATTCTCAACATACTTCTCCTTTTGTATTATCCCTATGCTTCTCTGAACTGGCAGGAAATACTGGATTTCCATTGAATGACATATGTGAAAGCAGTTATGCTAACCTAAAAACAAGGTGGCTCAGAGGAGAAGCGTGTTTTTTTGTTGTTGTTTGGTTTGGTTTGGTTTGTTTTTTTTTAACTCTACTGTGGTGCCAGTTCACAGAAATAAGCTTGTTTTGTTTTGTTTCCTTTGTTTACTTTGCAGAGAGATCTGCAATAACAGAGATATCAAGTGGGATTCAGTTATGTATACGACTGTTGATCTCTTTCTTGGCTGAGAAGAAATTATGGCACTGTTCTAACATGAGTTTTCAAGTAATAGACCTTAATTTCCACTTGTGTTCCCAAATCTGTATTTGACTACATGTTGAATCTTTAGTCATCCAACACATGAGAGTTTTTTTCTGTTGTTTTCAGTGCAGTGGAGACTTCAGTATTTTTTAAAAGAAGTGAAGGCAGCTATTCAGCTGCTTTGAAAATTAAGTCTTAAATTAAAAAAAAAAAAAAAAAGAAAAGAAAGAAATCTGTTGTTTACAGGTCCTGTAGTCTTCCAAAAAGAATGTCAATATATAATTCCATTATTAGAGCTGCTGCATTGCACTGGTGAATACTTAGATAGTTGGTTACGGAAAGGGTGACTCATAGTCTTTGTGTTGTGACCAGTTATCTTTTAAAGCCTAGCCGCGAAGACCTCTGATGTCTAAAAGAACCACATAAAAAGTGCAACTCTTTCCTTCTCAGATGACACTGAGGCATGAGGATGGAGATGAGACTGCTGACCCTCCTCCCAGTGGGCGCAAGGACAGAAGAAGGGCCAGCCTTGGCACTAGCGAGCGAAGGGGCCTGGAGCGCCGACGGAGCCGGAGACACTCGGTACAGAATGTCAAAACCACTTTATCAGCCTCTGCAAGTCCGTGCAGTGAGTCAAACCCTACCTACATGCTAGGTCATGGACAGCGCATTGAAGATCTCAGTGAGAAGTAAGTGGACAAGCTAAGGAATACTCTTTTCTTTTCCTCTATTTCTTTCCATTATATTCAATGCACTTTACTAATCTGCCAGCTGTTTCTGTTTCCTTTTTTTCCTCTTTCTGTTGCATTATAAAAGAAAAAAAAATGAAGGTTGAAAGAAACCTCTGTAGGTGACTTGATTTATCTATATATCTAGATTCTTTGGCACTATCTACCTCAAGGAAATGAACCCAAACTACATGACGTAGAGCATTCAGCATTCAGAACTAACCAAGGTTAATTACATCTAGTGACATATTTTATATTTAAAATATCAACATAATAGAAGACTGTAACATGACTATAGTCACATTAGTGTGATTTATTTGTCCTGGATATGTTATAGTTAATTCCTTTCTTTTTTTTTTTCTTTTTTTTCCTCTGGAATTATCATTCCAGAATAAATATTTTCCTTTGAGACTGCACTATAGTAGTAAATGCATCTGATGTTTTATAATTAATGGAAGAGAGACAGTAATGACTAGTTGGAGAGCTGTCTGAAACACTACATTGCCAATACCATTACAGTTGACTTGGACTATGCATGATTAGAAAAAAATGGGAGCTGCAGATCCTCAGCATGTCTGAATACCACACAGGAGGGCTGGAATTAATTTCGCCCAAGTTAAATGTCTGATCATCTTGCCTCCCTTTGAAGTCAGTGGAGAGCAGAAAGCACTTCTAGACCTTCCATTATCTAACGTATTTTACATGCCTGAAATTTCATCTAGGATGAATCATGCTCTGAAACTGGCTCTTTTTCTCTGTTGACCATAAAGGGAGTCTGGCTGATTAGCTCAGAGGTAGATATGTGTGCTGGAGGTACCTAAAGCTGACCAGATGTCTGTCATCCAGTGGCTTACAGATGCAATTTGAAAAACCAAAGCATGCTCTATGAAGAACATTTCCTGTATTAATCATAATATTTTGGAAGTTGTTTGAGGATTTCTGCTGGGTAGCACCAGATGTAAACTAAGAGCCTTAATATCCCCCATTTTAATGTAAAGCAGCCCATCTTGCAAAGCAAACCCAATTTACTGAAGTTGAATGGCTTCAAGCAATATGAAAATATCTCTGGATAATTTAAATATTAGAGGCGTGTTGTATATGACATAAAGACTTTTTTTTTGCATTTGGCAACACATTCATGCTTGTTTTTCATCACTTTCTATTGGCCGGGTCTGTAGTGAGCTGGCAGCCAAGCGCCCCATGGTCTTACAGGCTGGTGACAAGGGTGACAGTGCATTTGAGGCCGAGTTTGAGGCAGCTTCGGTGTGAGTACAGCTGAGACTTCAGCTGCTCCGCATGCAGTGCCTCTTGCATGTTTTTGGCCTCCTTTTCATGGCACACTAACGGGACTGGGAATCTGTCTTGATAGATTTGCAGCAAACATCATTGGCATGTTGAAGTGATGAGTTTGGATTAGAAATGGGGGAATGCTTCAGCTACACAAACATTGTTGATTCTATTGTTGCAAACAAATACTTGGGTTAAGAGGGACACACACTTGTACTAGTACATTTTCTCAGTATTAATTTTTGCTTATTAGATTTATTTTGCAATAATTCTTTGGAAATTTTTAATAAATTTGTTTCAGCTGATTTTTAGTAATGGTGATCTTTGCAAGTTCTTTGAAATATTTTTTTCACTAACATATCATAATTTCAATTAGTATTATTTTCTGGAAAAACATAGGCACTCCTATCTCCCTTGAGGTTGACATAATGTGAAGCAGAATTTTAAGTTAGGAAAGAAATTTAGTAATTTTAATTTCATATTGCAGTAGTTCTTGGCATCTCTTCTGTGAAAGTAATTAAATTCTCATTTATTCAGGTGTATTGTTTTTCAACTACATCTGGAATCTCTGTTTTATTCATCTGCCTCTTTAAGGAAGGAGACATGGATTATGAATGTGTGTAAGATGGGGATGTTTAAGGAGAGTACTAGCTAAAAAAAAATCCTTTCCTCGCAATAACTAAAAATGGGAAGTATTACTTTTAGTTAGCAAAGTGATGTGGTCACTAAAGACCACAAAATATGTTTCGGTGCACAAAGATGCAGATTTTACACTGAATGAAATTTTCCATATCGTTGAAGAGCCATGATGGCTCTTCTCGAAGTCCAGCTCAGTTGCTAGTAAATAAACAGTTGAGAAGAACTGATTCTGATTCTGTCCTTCACAATTTTTAGCCGCATCATCACACTAAATGTATAATTCTGGTAGGAAGAGGAACCAGCTTTCCTGCTTTACCAAATCCCAGTCAGTCTCTCAACTTTCAATGAAATAGTGCAGGTGCATAAAACAGTAGCGCCACACATCATACTTAAACTGGGAGCAAAAACAGCTAAAGAGAAAACTTTGTGGCTTCTGTTTATTCAAACATAAACACAGGACAATAGCAATGTCAAATGATTCTTGAGCAGGGGGGGTTGGACTAGATGATCTCAAGAGGTCTCTTCCAACCTCAACCATTCTGTGATTCTGTGATTCATGTGATGTTGCACAGTTCTAAAGTTTGAATTAACCTTAGGTGGAAAAAACACCTTATCGCTACATTGTTTTACTGCTGGAATTATTAAGTTTACAAATTTGAGAGCATGATCACTGCAGCAATATTTTTGACTCAAAGAATTTTAATACAGCGTTGTAAGTTTAGGCCTTACTGCAATTAAGAATGAAATTTTATAATTCCATTTTTAAAAGTATGTTAAAAATATGATGCAGTTATCATCTGCTTTTGTCAAATTACATGCTTGTGTGAGCCACACTGCTTCCCTCGTTTCTGTTGTAGTGAGGACTGTGTAAAAATTGATCAAGGCTAATTATCATGTCCATAAACTGAAAGTATCTTTTGTTCATCCAGGACAGGCAGATGTCTTTCACTATTGATTTTCTTTTGAGTTGTAACCCTAGTCCTGTCCAAGGCAGGGACAAAGTCTGCAAGACTGCAGTAAGTTTTTTCTGTGCTGTATTTAGTTGAAAAATATTCTGAACAAAGAAGCACCAGCCTCTTCGATTGGAAGCTCCTTAGCTACATATTCTTCATCACCAGGAAACATTTAACACTATTCGTAATAATTTTACTCTGTTGGTCCTGCTGGTTTCTCTCTGCTTTGTGTGTGGTTGCAAATTTCTGTCTTGTTTTACAGCGGATTAATGCCTTTAAGTTCAGTGGAATTACTACTGATGGACAATTCTTACACTGTGCTGAATTTTCTTTTAGGCAATATTCTTGGTTATTTTTGGACTTTGCTACCAAAATCAGTGGAAGGTTCAAGTTCTCCCTCAGCATTCTCCTTCCCACAGTGTTCATGCTTCTTTTCTGACTCCATCAGCTGGCTTGGCAGTTGCTTTGCTTTTGTTTACCACATCAAACAGGTTGTCCACAGTCATCTGCTTTGTGTCAACCGATAAGTCTTCCAAAAAGAGAAAAATCCGGTAAAGCAAAAAAAGACAATATTGGCCAAATGCTGTTCTGTCTCACAATGCTCTATATCCAAAAAAGTTCTCTGAAGTCAGTGGAGTTGCTCTGATTTATGCCAGGCTAATTGAGAGCAGACTTCAGATTTTCAGCTGGGAAAAGTTGACCATAAATGCTATGGGCAACTAAAAGGAAAACTTACAGGCCTTTTTCATCCATTTCGCAACCTTCCTCCAAAGTAAATATATTGCTTTGCTGCCTGTGGTTCAAAACAAATAAAGACCAAAATCTGCTTTGTGTTAAAATAGTTTTTATGGAGAATTAAGCCCAGCCTAATGTGTCTGCTATGGAACAAATAAATAAATAAATACATTGGTAATGACTACTAAATAAAGCTAAGTTTGGTTTAAAGATATGTAGGCCAAGAGTTGGGAAACTCTTGGTTCTGTCTTAATGGAGCGGGTGGCCCTCGCAAAGGCCCTGTGCATACACAACAATGAACCAGAAACAACTACTTCTCTAGCTTTTCAAGTGAATCTGTTTCCCATTTGGCTGTATGCTTCGCTTTGATCAATACTGCACTGAGAACATTCCCCTTTTCTCTCCTGTAGTGTCCCGCCAGAATTGCGCCATCCGGACTTAGCAAATGAACCCAGGAAATCATCTAGTATATTTACCTTGGCAGCTTTAATCACTGTTTTGCATGAAGAGGTCTGTCTAAGTTTTGTAGAGGGCTTTGCACATTAATTGTATTCACATAAAATTGTTATATCCAGTAGTAGATATGTGCCTCGCTTTACCAGACTCCTTTTTCTTAGTCTTCATTTTTAATATTTTCCCTGATTCTACTTTGCTTTACATCATAAAAAATCAAAAAAAAAAAAAACACACAAAGTAATTTGCTAGGGTGAGTCACTATACTAGTTCATCTGGAGATAAGCAAGCTTTCAGGAAGACACACTGTTGATGCTGATGTATTTGAAGCCTAGCATGTAGAAATGCTAACTGGCATCAGAGGCATCTCAAAGAGAAGTCTGCATGTTCATTTAGCAGCAGAAGCTAGATTTAAGAAGCTATCTTTAGACCATAAGTATAAAAAAGCATAAAGAGCAACTGCTGAGGTTCACCTGAGGCTTCCAGATCCTTTATTCTGAAAAAAATTAACCTTCAGGAGAAGCATCTTTTTATGTTGGAACAGGAGATGCAGAAGAGCAAACGGAGCTGTGTAGCTAAGTATAGGTTGTTTTAATACTAGATCCTAAGGAAGGACTTAGGAAACAAGGTGCCATTTGCCTCATAAAGTCTCTGGGTGGATGCTAAATTATTACAACTTGTGAAGTCAAAAACTCATTGGAAATACTGAGCTGGGCATTTTTAAGAGTCTTACCTGGAAGGCTCTTAGAACTTTTTCTCTGAGCGAAGAGTAGCTCCAGAAATTCCCAAGTTTTCTGCAAGTCTCTGTCTAGTTGGGCAACGTGCACTGAGGCCGAGGGCTTTCACACACTTCATAAAATTCTAAAAAATTTGGAAAATTGTTGCCTAAATAAA